TTTCTTCTTTTTTTTTTTTTTTTTTTTTTTTTTTAATACAACAGATGCTTATTTACGATCTCTTGTAACTGAAGCTTCTTGAAGAAACTCCGTGGAAGTAAAATCCGCATATAAAAGTTAACGCGGAAATATCCTTTTCCGATCTACTCGCGAAGGGAACTCTGAAAGTATAAAAAGAAGGAAGATGTATATCTTCAGGCAATTTAGTTTCAGGAAAACGAAAAATTATCATTCGTGTCTGGTTTCACAAAATGTAGTATAGCGTTTGTGTTACCGTCGTTGTTGTGTGTATCTTGATTTATTTCCTCTGCGACGATTCAAAACTTACATTTGGCCACGAAGTTAATAACTATGTTTGCTATCCGGCACATTCACTTGTCAGCGACCGTAGGACTTGGAAGCGTCCAGGACTTGGAAACTAGTGCCACGACATTGTTACAGTAAATAGATTGCCAGTAAATAAGCGCGCGCGATCACACACACATACACACATACACACACACACACACAAAATGACATTTGGTGTCTCGATAAATGCCACGACGGCTCGACCCATATTCTGACAATGGGCCGATCCGTTTATTATTAGATGCGCGCGGAGGCACGTCGCCATAAAGATGACACCGTGTTGCATTGTCGTCCGCTACCAACCGGGAACCGGTATAAAGGCGGTTGACAGTCTGGAGGAAGATGATTGCTCCACGTTGATTATCATGCAAACGATACGCGAACTGTCGACGCCCATTTTACGCGTATACAAGAAAATCCTATCAAGTTTGATCAATCAAAAGTTGGCTCAAAACGAAAGCGTGTTTACGTATTGCAAAAAGAATTGCATATTTTGTTTGTTCCAGGAAAATTGAAACAATGCAATTCAATCTTGCATTTCTTTGTGCGCGATAAACGGAGAAGCTGCGCTCGCTTTCCCGCCTTTGTAGAAGTTTTTATTATGCATTTTGTTCGGTGTAAGAAAATTGGAATGTGAAAACAATTCGAATAGTTTTATTCAATTTTGTCAAAATATATATATATATATGTATATATACATATGTGTGTGTATGTGCGCTAGACAGAAGTAGTTGGAAAGCGTCACGGTTGCAAGCAGGAGGAGAAGGGGAAGAGAAGGGGAAAAGGGACAGCGCCCGATGTTTCCTTTCTCACGTTATGCTTTCTCCCTGTCTGTCTTGCACCCCTACCGATCGATTTCCGTTCCCTACCGTGTACTCCGCGCCGACCTCGACGAATGCGAAATTTATCCGCGCGGCGGAGGCCAACTCAACTCAATTCAATCAACGAATATGAACATTGGATCCATTTACATGCAAAAAGAAAAAAAAAGAAAAGAAAAGAAAGAGATCGCGCGCCATCATCAATCAGACGCGATTTATTTTCATGATGAATAATAAAACGTAATCTAGAGAAGTAAGTTCTTCGGGAATATAATAATAATATTTCTTCTTCATTTTTACCACGTTCGAAAAGAAATGTCGAATTGTTCAAAATAAAAAAAAAAAAGCCGCACGACTTTATATCAGAAAATAGTGGAGCAATTTCTGTCCTTACCAGACAACCGAGCGCCGACGCGTTTTCTTCATTTCTCATCGCACGATGGAAGTAGAAACGGAGATAAAAGCGTGTGATTTTCACAAGAAGAAATGATCTTGTCGTTTGTCTGAATGTACAAGAGAGGGGTGACTACTTTGATATTGCGAAAGTTCGTCTAGACGAACTGCAACGTGAAGGACGAAAGAAAAATAGCGTGGAATTGCGAAAAAGAGAGAGAGAGAGAGAGAGAGAGAAAAAAAACACGTTCAAAGAAAGTCTTCGCTAAGTTAAAGTTACAGCACAGCTAATTTAAAAGACACCATACAAAGAGCTAACCTGATAAGAACTAATTAACGTAGTCAATCAAACTCGTGTAGATAATTCGATTGTCGAATTACCTCGAGATATAAATTTTTTTCCGAAAAGAGGAAATATTCACAGAGATAAAAACGGAAGAGAGAAACATATCTCCTGAGATGCCTTTTGATTCATCCCTCTCTTTTGGTCACACCGCGTTGCTCCGTTGCACTCGGTGCACCCGAATATATACATTATACATTGGGTTGCATGCGTGCTGCCTAGCGCAGCCATGCATGCCTGCAAGGTTCGGTTAAAGAGACACAGGAAGAACTTCCTTCATAAAAGAGAGAACAAGAGATAGAGAGAGAGAGACATGTCTCCGTTTTATCTTGTATTTCGAGCCGTGAAACGGCCGAGCTATCCTTTGTGCGAATGTGTTTTTTCATACAAACGGCGAGTGAATTCCGCAAACAAAAGTTAAAAAGTGTCGCGTGTGCGTACATTAATACGTCACACATTTATTTCTCTTTCTCTCTTTCTCTCTCTCTCTCTTTCAAGTTGAGATCACGGGGCTTGTTTCACGACGATTCGGATAACTCTAAATAAATTTGTTTTATACGACGAAAACTTCGAACTTGTCCTCCAGGAGAAAAAAGTTTCGAGCTTGAATTTATCGCGTTTTCTGTTTGCGCGCGCGAATACCTTATCGCATGTAAAATATATGTCTAAAAGCTTCGAGTGCTGAGAAAAATTGTTAAACTAAAATTCAATTGTTCGGATGTGTCTCTCGAGCTTGGGAAATACACTCAAACACTTGGGATCTTTTTGACTTTAAAGAGAATGCGTAAGTGCGATTCTATCGTGAAAAAGTGATGTGGTTAAGAACGTTCTTATTACGTTACTCCACTTCCTCTCTAAAGTATGTAATCCGAAATCACAAGTGAAGAGAAAAAGAGAGAGAATTCAAGCAATTCTTTCTCTTCGAGGATAACGT